TCCTCCTCCTCCTCCTCCTGCTCCTTCTCCTCCGCCTGCTCCTGCTCCTCCTGCTCCTCCTGCTCCTCCTGCTCCTCCTGCTCCTCCTCCTCCTCCTCCTCCTCCTCCTCCTCCTCCTCCTCCTTCTCCTGCTCACCGAATCGGACCGCCGCCGAGCGCAGGGCCCAGCACAGCCGCGCGGACGCGCGCGCCGCTGGGCGGCTGCTGCGAGCGATCGCCGACGTCGAGCGCCACCGCGGCCGGGGCCCGGGCGGCCTGGCCGGGCGGCACTTCGCACGGCGCCGGGCGCTGGGGCGCCAAGCGGCGCCACGCCGCCGCCCGCGGGGCTCCGTAGCGGGGGGGGGGGACCGCCGCCCACGAGGTGGCGGAGGCGGAGGCGGCGCCGCCGGGGGAGCAGCCTGCCCCTGCCGCCGGCGTGGCCGCGGAGGCTCCGAGCACGGAGGGGAGCGGCACGCAGCAAGGCGGCCCCGTCAGCGCCGTGGAGGTCTCCACCCATGGCGGCAGCCATGGGCAGTCCCGCCGAGCTTCCCGGTGTCGTGGATGGGGCCGCTCGCCTCGGCAGAGCTGCCGGTGGGGAAGGTGCGCCGCGTGTCGGCGCCGACCTTCCTGCCGAAGCCGTCTCTCTTCTTGGAGGTGCTGGAGCCGCTGGAGTGCAGTGAGACGTCGGATCGTTGCTGCACGAGCTCGGGACGGCGACGGCAGAGGCCACCCCAACCTCGTCGGCAGCCGAGCGCGCTGGGCGGCCGGCGACGAGCGCGCACGGCTTCTCCGTGACGCCTATGCTCTGCCTGGAAGCTCGGGCTCAACAGTTTGTTGGGCGTTTGGCCAGCACGTCAAGTTAGCAGTTGCAAGTCAGCGTTTGGGTGGCATTCAGCTACTTTCGGTGGCGGTCAGGTTGGATAGCTGTTCCGTCTTCTTCCCTCGAGGATATGGCGTGCCGTGTGGAGGGATACGCTCACTGGATTGATCGTTTTCTGACACGCTGAAACATGGTGAACACATCGTACGTTTGGTCTGGACTGCTTCCCGTCCTTTGACTTCAAGTTCGTCGAGTCGCTGGGACAGCTCGGGGAAGGGAAGTGTTTGATATGACTGCGTCGTTGATTCATCCACCCATCCATGCATGCATCCATCCATCCATCCATCCATCCATCCATCTATCCATCCATCTATCGAGCCATCCATCAATCCATCAACCCCGTGGAGGGGGCCTGCTTCGCGGCCAAGATCCCCAGGGGCCCGCCATGGCGCAAGTCCGGCCCCGCGATCGGCTGCAGCTCCCCGCCTGGAGGTACGCCGCCATGAAGGACGACGACGACGACGACGACGACGACGACGACGACGACGACGACGGCGACGACGACGTCGACGGCGGCGACGACGACGACGACGGCGATGACAGCGGCGACGGCGGCGGCGAAGGCGACGATCACGATGACTATTGCGGAAAGGGACGGAGGCGGCAGTGGTCACGACGACGAATACGACGACGATGACGACGGCGGCGGCAACAGCGATGGCGGCGACGACGATGGCGGCGAAGGCTACGACGACCACGACGACGACAACGACGAAAACGACGAAAAGAACCACTACGACGACGACGACGACGACGACAACGACGACGACGACGACGACGATGCCAACGACGACGGCGACGACGTCGACGACGACAACGACGGCATTGACTATGAAGGACAGAAAAGACAACGGCAGCCGTAGCCAAAACGACGAAGACAACGGCGGCGACGACGGCGACGGCGAAGACAACCACGACGACGACCACGCCAACGACAACAACCACGACGACGACGACGACGACGAAGGGAGAGAGGGGAAGAGTGGGAGAGGGAGGCAGAGGACGAGGAAGGCGAGGGGAAAGAGGGAGAGAAATAGAAGGAAGAGGGGGAGGAGGAGGGACATTTGGAGGAAGATCAAGGGTAAACAATGTTTCCCGCTCGACAGATGAGCGACAGGAGAAAGTAAAGTAGTGCACTTGAGGAACGAGTCGAATACGGTAGTCGTGCAGCACAGACTCGGTCGCAGCGGGCCCGTCTCATGAGCGCAAGCTGGAAGACTTCGAGCACTAAGTGCAGCGCGTCGGCAAGGCATGCACAAATGCGAGCGCGGAAAAGGAGGAGGAGGAGGAGCAGGAGGAGGAGAGGGAAAAGGAGCAGGAGAAGGAGGAGAAGGCCTCCAAACGCCCCCAGAGCCCAGAAGCCTCCAGGGGCCCCGGGAGGCCCCCAAGAGGTCTTCGCGGATCTTCGGAGGTCCCGGGCCACTCTTCGCCGCCGGGCGCTCCGACATGTGTTCTGGACGCCGCTACTTGCAGAAGCAGGGAAGAATGTAGGGGGCCACATGCGAACCCTACCCCTACCCCCGACGATTTCTGAGGGGGAGGGTGGGGTTCACTTCGCTCGGGAAACCCCACCCTCCCCCTCAGAAATCGTGGGGGGTAAGGGTAGGGTTCGCATGTGGCCCCCTAGAATGGGAACAGACGAGGTTGGAACAAAAACTCACGGAAACTGCTTGTCGTCCCAAATCGCGAGCAAAGCGGGCATGTTGCATCTCGCCCAGGTGGCGCTATCAAGGGCTATTGGTCGCTGCTGGGCGCTGTCTGAGGGCAAGTTGAGCGCTGGTGGGCGCTATTGAGCGCTATGGAACGCTATTTGGCACTATGCCCCCAGATGCATTCAACCCACGACGAGCGGAAGCTTCCGTGCTGTACTATCCAAGTTTAGGTCGGGCATGTCCTCCTACAGGCGGATTTGGGAGGACAAGTTACAAAAATATGCAAAAATGTGCAAACCTTGACCCAACAAAATTCTATAAATCATCCCCTGATTATTGTTCCACGCCATCCTGTGGTGCTGGGTCCTCGATTTGAAGAGACGGTCCCCGCGTTCCTCCTCCTCCTCCTCCTCCTTCTCCTCCTCCTCCTCCTCCTCCTCCTCCTCATCATCATCATCATCATCCTACGAAGAGTAAAAAATTGGCAACAGCTTCACAGATGGAGGGCGCGTGGTTTTCAAAATGTGGCGCTCGCCCTGGCGCGGCGCACATTCGTTGTAAAAAAAAGTTTCACGGATTGAAGGCGGGTGGTTTTCAAAATGTGGTTCTCGCCTTAGCGCCGTGCACCTTCGTTTTAAACATATCAGCCGTCGTTGACTCCAAATAGATGGAGGACAGGAGAATGACGAGAGGAGGATGGGAGGAGGATGAAAGAAGGACGGGAGCGGGACGGGAGGAGAACGGGAGGAGCAAAATCAAGCAAGCGCAAGCAAGCAAGCGGAAGCAAGCAAGCGCAAGCGAGCAATAACAAGCAAGGAAGAGCCAGCGATCAAGTGCAAACAAGCAAGCGCAAGCAAGAGCAAGCAAGCGAGAACAAGCACGCAAGAGCAAGCAAGCAAGCGCCACTGGAAAAAGAGGGTGGTGCCATTGGCGGGCTGCCATTTGAAAAAAGGGGGGCCTAAAGACCAATTACTTCTGATGAGCTAGGACTCCTATGGGGCAAGCCTACTTGGAGAATTCGCAACAGCTTCACATATTGAGGGCGGACCGTTTTCAAAAGGTGGTTTTCGCCTTAGCGCCGCGCACATTTCGTTTAAACATTTGCAAGAGCTTCACGGATGGAAGGGCGGGTCGTTTTCAAAATGTGGTTCTCGCCTTAGCGCGTCGCACACTCGTTTGGAAAAAATGCCAGAGCTTCACGGACTGAGGGCGGCTCGTTTTCAAAATGCGGCTCTCACCTCAACGCGGCGCACATTCGCTTACAAAATGATTCAAAGTTTCACGGGTTCCCATCATCAACGTAACAGAAACGGTGTTTTCCCAGAGTTAAGGATTATGCGGGCGCAACAGTTACATGATTCTCTGTGTTGAAGTCCTAGGAATGGCGTTCTGGCACGATTCAAAATCGTCAAGACGCAACAGTCAGGTTGATCCGCGGCGTTGGAAGCCCAGGAACAATCTTTTGGCATACTTCAGGGTCAAACGTGCGTCTTCCAACGAGGCAGTTCCCTCAATGGAAATACACCGTCGTATGGGGCCTATGAAAAGGGAGTTTGGAGGGAGGGTTCACTCCAACATCGTTGGATTCACACTGGTCCTCTTCCGCCTCTTCCTCCTCCTCCTCCTCCACCGGCACCTTTCCTTATAAATTACTTCTCCCTGTCGCACCCCGAGGCCAGTTTTCAGGGCGGGCCGGACGTTTCGCCTGGGATTTCCTCACCACGTATGACTCTGAAGCTTAAACAATGGCAACAAGTTCACAGATGGTGGACGGGTGGTTCTCAAAAGGTGGCCCTGCCCTTTGCGCGGCGTGCATTCGTTATATAACTTGCAAGAGCTTCACGGATTGAGGGCGGGTCGTTTTCAAAATGTGGTTCTAGTTCTCGCCTTAGCGCCGCGCACATTCGTGATGAACATATGCAATAGCTTCACGGATTTACAAAGAACCCTGCAATCACCATGCAGAAAAACATGTCAAGACCCCTGAAAAACATCGCCGACAACCTTCAGAACACCTTGCAATGCCACGCGAGACTCTGCGAGAGACCCTGCCATGCCTTGCGATGCCCTACAGCTGGACCTGCGATATCTTGCAACTGCCCTTCAATCTCTCCAGCGCCCAGCCTTCTGGGCGTAGAACGTTCGAAGAATCTGGCTTCGCTGGGGGGGGCCCTCTCGGGGCCCCCCCGAAGCTTCTGGAAGGCCCCAGGGGGGTCTCCAAGACAGGCCCGAGAGGACGCCGAGGAAGCCGCAGAGGGCCCGAGAGGGCCCCAAGAGCGGCCCAAGGGGGCTCCGAGGGGGGCGCACGACGCATCGCGCCGAACTCCGTCTGACAGAATTTGGCGCGACGATCGCCAATGCCGAGCGGGCGCTCTCTTTGGGCTCTCTCCGGGCCCGCGCGGGCCCCTCTTTGAAATTTCCGGGGGTTCCTCGGGCCCCCCCTGGCCGCGCGATACTGTTGGGGCCCAGGCCCCAACGATATCATAGGAACAGGCTATCGTGTGAAATCGCGGGAGCCTGAGCCCCGAAGCTATCGCGCGGCCCAGGGAGGGCCTGCACGGAAGCCCAAGAGGGCCCCAAGAGAGCCCCCGCAGCCATCTTGGGCCCTTTGCGCGGCCCTGTGGTGGGGCTCTCCTGGGGCCCCTGGCGACGACAAAGCTGGAGCTAACCTCATGCCCGTGAGAATAAACACTAGGGGATAATAAAGTTCGGGTCTCAGGGAGAGATAATAAAAGTAGCCCAGCAGACCTCAGCATAATCTCGAAGTAAGAGATGATCAAGAGGAGACCAAGCCGAGCATCGTTTCGCTTCAGACATCTATATGCTTGTTTCGCTTCGAACATTCTCGACTATATGCTTGTTTCGCTTGAGACGTTTATTTACAAACGCTTTATTAAAATTGTTGTTTGTAAGTGCTCGTGTAGGGTAGCTCATGTGCCTCAATTTCCATGGATAATCAACCCCAGAGATAAAAAAGTTCAGGCGAGCGTGGGGACAGAGAGAAATATAAAAGAAGAAGAATACAGTAGAAGAATAATAAGAAAGAAGAAGAAAAGGAGAATAAGAAGAGGACGAAGAAAGGAAAAATCCAAAGTTCCAAATCTATCAATTTTAATGTACAAACGCTTTATGAAACATGATGTTTTAAGTGCTCGTGTAGGGTAGCTCATGTGCTTCATTTTCCATGGATAATCAACCCCAGGGATAAAAAAGTTCAGGCGAGCGTGAGGACAGATAGAAATATAAAATAAGAAGAGGAAAGTAAAAGAATAAAAAGAAGAGAAGAAGAAGAGAAGAAGAAGAAGAAGAGAAGAAGAACGGAATTGCTGGTTTCGCTTGAGACATCCTCACATAATTGCTGGTTTCGCTTGAGACATCCTCGAAACATTGCTCGTTTCGTTTGAGTCTGCCTCCCAAAATTCTTGGTATCGCTTGACACATCCTGAAAAAGTGTGATCGCTTCGCTTGATGTTGCTATATCAACATCGCTTGATGTTGCTATCTCAAAATAGCGTTTCGAGGTGATAATGAAGTTCGGCCTCAGCGCTCGCCGCCCAATTTAAATTTGTATAGGGCGACGATAATCAACTCTAAACACTGAAGGGGGGGGGTCCCTTTATTATCATCGGCATGCGGTTATTCTTCCATTCCCCCCGTTCACATTCCTTTTTCCACGGGCAGCGGCTGCCCCGTTTTGCGCTTCACCGCACGCTGCCACGCTTCCCTGATCACGGCGACTCGCCCGGGCATCTTCTCGGAACGGGGCGGCGGGGA